CACAGATCGTTCGTAGCGTGAACTCCGCGTTGAAGTAACACTTGCCTTGGTTGTCGAGGCTTGTGAGCGCCAGGATCAATGTTGCAAGCGAGTCGCCGTCGTCTGATGAAGATGCTACTTCTTGTAGCGCGAGAAAGCCAAGCCTGGGAAGAAACATGGAGAGCCAAGAGTCGTGAGTTTCTGTCCCATGCCGCAAGTAATAAATTCTTAGCAGTAGCTCTTGGTTCCTTCGAGCATCTGCATATGTCTCAGTGGGCGTCTGGCCAAGTGATTTTGTGGGATCGTCCCAGCCCGTGAAGGGCTTAAAGAGGTCCGTCACAAGAGCCCAGTATTGGATACTAGAGGGATTAGCAAAAAGTAGAATAAAACTTAATTACATACTGTAGCCTTAGCTGAAAAGGTAGGACTATCTTCCCTGGATGCAAGTCATCGGGGAGACCATCGAACCAGGACCGTAATCGAACAAAGAACTCGATTGCCTGGCCAAGGTAAAGGGATCGGATTTGCACGGGACGGAACAAAAAGAGGGCGATGTCGTTGAATATGGTCCAGAACTCCAAGTATGCCTTGAACGCTTGGTGATACTTAGTTGAAACGGGCTCTTGGCTTGAAGGATATCGAAGCTGGATATCGCCATACCAGAATGGGAACTCGGCGGGGTGGGGTATCTGAGGCGGCTGCTTGACCAGAGGTGATTGTTGCAACATGGAGGCCATGATTCTGTTTTCAATCTCAGCTTTAGATTTAAAGAGGGAACGTGGGAAGCCCACCCTTGCCAAGCGAAAAGAGCCCAGGCTGTAACTTCATAAACAATCTTGACATCTTGGTCCGCCTCCTGTTCACTAGCTGAGTTGAACAAACCCATGAGATATGCGAGGCCCACGGCCTTGGTTAAATATTGGTAAGCGGCGCCTTCAACCCCATGGTCGTTCATGGTAATGTTCATCACGAGCATGGCCTGGATTGTTGTAATTTTTGGTCGACCTGTTTCAAGCTCCAACAAACGCCGGGCCTCGGCGAGGAACATGTAGCCCAGAGTCTGTGGATTCCAATGCTCGTTGCGGTACGCAACCGTGGGGGTAGCGTGACAAGCATGAGCTAAGACAGCATTGACGAGTAGGCTGGAGCAGAAACGACGAGATACAGAGCCAAGACCGCGTAGGAAACACTCCTTGTGGAAGAAGGGGAACGCCGAATATATGTGCATGAAGTAAGCTTCCATGAGACTGTGCAGCAAAGGCTCATCCGTGCACACATTCGTCCAGCGAGAGATCGTAGCGCAATCCAGCAATGGTTCGACTAGTCTCGCAGAGTGGTATGGCATGTACTTTGGGGCCTCTAAATACGAGATCAATCGTGCATCAAACGCCTGTGGAGACCCCGGGCTACGGTATGGCGCCTCGAAGACCAAGGAGTCCATGTATACACTGTTTGTTTTGGCGAAGATGCCAGGCAACGCACTCCGGTTGGGGATTGTGTAGTGGAACGGGGATGAAGGTGCTAGGTGCAACTGCATCAGTAGATCCCCGCCCTCCACTGCGTTCAAGATAGCCTCTAGATCAGCTCCTGTTCGAACCCGCCTGAAGATAGCGAGTGCTATATCCTCGGGCTTCTCGCGTATCATCGCAACAATGGTATCAAGACGATCCTTATCAATATTCATCTCGGTGAACTTACGTTGCAGTGCCCGATGAAGCATCTGTATGTCGGGTTTTGGACCAAACTGACATTCCGAGTTGCGCAGTATACAGGGCTCGCACGGCCACGGAACATTGCACTACATATATCAGCCGAGCTCTCGCATTGATAGAGGCAAGAATACTTTTAGCTTCCGCTTGCGACATTCATCACAGGCTGCAGACACAGGCCGGAGTCGCTTCTTCAGAACGATATTTGTTTGGGTCACAGGCGTAGTGGTCTGGGTCTCCACTGGCCTAGCAGGGCCAGGTAAAAGGGGAACCAGACTAGACATGGCGAAGTAGGTAGTTTCGAGTTAGATCCTCGGGAATATTGGGGCTCTATCCGAGGGTAAACTGAGTCGACGTTATGCCACAGACGGTAAAGCGGGGTGAGGTGAAGGAGAAGATATCTGGGTCATAATAAGGCTGCAAGACACGTTGCGGTCACGGAACTCGGCTTTATTATCAGCCGCAAGCCTCAAAAGCACAATGACATCATGACTTTATCTCAATGCTCAGCTGCTCGCTTGATGGGTATGTATCAGTTGGATATATAATGCGTATAGGCTCATGTAGTCGATCTTATACTGCTGGGAAGTATACAAGTTCAACAGAATTAGACTATTAACATATTTAGGCTAAGTTAAGGCTATCAATTTAGTGCAAAAAAGGTGATCTCTGTAAACTATAGACTAGGGCAGCCAGGATTATTAATCTTGAAACAGTGAAAAGCAAGCAGTCGAACAATTACCATACACCCAAACTCATGGAATTTCACCAACCTAATCCGATTTCTTTTCAGCATCCTCATTGACCTTTTGAGAAGCTTCAGCGTTGTTCTCAATACTTTTCTGGGGACCGCCCTTACCCCCCTCTTGAGGTACAGTGGCATTTTCTTCTGTAGCACCATTCTTACTACCCTGGTCACCTTTGTCCTCGACAGCCTGGCTCTCAGTCCCTTGGGCCTCTTTACTTTCTTCCTGAGCATCACCATCCTTCTTTCCCCAGATTCTCACGCTGGGCATGGAAACATTTCCCAGTGATGACACAGAGCTGGGCACCTTTGGCATACTCGGCATGTTGGGCATGCTAGGAAGGTTTGGCATCTGCGGAATCTTGTTTGGCAGCCAACCCTTGGCGTCGGCGCCGGTTTGCTGAGCCACGCCGAAGAGATAGTTGAGGTAGGTTCGCTTCTCAACCGTGTCAGCACCCTCAATATCTGCATCACCCACGATGCCTTCACCCTTGTCATCGGGGAGGGGGACGAGGGAGGCGGCATTGGCGATGTCCAGAGGCGATTCGTCTGGGAGTCCAGTATCATTGTCGCTGTCTTTGTCATTTGCGCCCTCGGCCTTCTCGTCGCCTTCAATTTGGCCAGGATCCTTCTCAAGAATCTCCTTGGTGGTCTCCGTCTCTTCTGTTTCTTCAGGAGGCGTCTCGCGGAATTTTGGATCATCAAAAACATTTTCCTCGCTGTGGAACCACTCTTTGATGAGCTCGGCCGACTTGTCCGTCATCTCCTCGTAGCCTCGATGTCTCTCAGGCCTGAACATGTTGAGGTGCGCTTCAATCTCATCTTCAGCCTTGGGCATGACGCATCTTTCGAAGATTGGGTAAGCAGAGTGGCTCTCCTCAGGAACAGCACAGAATGTCCGCTCAGGGACAAAGTATCCTCCACTCCAGTAGCCATTCTCACCAAGAGAACAGTAAAAGTCGTGCATGCCAACACCCTTGAGCGAGCCGATGCGTTCGAGTCGACGGTTCAGCTCTTTTTGTCGGAGGAGTGCACCGACAAACGTGACATGATCTGAGAGCCAGGCGAAAGACTTTCCGACATTTCCGCGGTTGATATAAGCCAGACCCTGTCCAAGAGCATCCATTCCCTGGCGGTAGCTTTCGGCAACAGACTCTTTGTTGATGTTCTTCATGCTCTTCATCCCTTGAATGATGGCCTCTCGGTTCATGTACGCTGCTACACCACCAGCTGCGATGGCGCCTACAGTACCTGTTTTGACAGCTACGAGCTGCCATGTCTTCCACTGAGGTCCCCGTGTACTGCTGGTAACAGCAGTTGTTGCAGCACGTCGAGCGCTAAGTCTTGCAAGACTAGCAGGTGCAGCTGCAGAGATGGCTGTCATGACGTTGAAGACGCTGTTGACTTTTTGATAATTGGAGAATGCGCCATAGACAAACATGGAGCGGGCCAGACCATTGTAAGGCGTGTCAAATGTGAGGATACCTTGGATCAGTGGAAACAAGGGATCATTCTCGTCTCCATTGTTAGCTCTGTCGTTGATGGCGAGGAACAGGGTATCTGCGGCAACGAAGCCTCTGGTAGAATGTTAGCCGGTGCAGGCATAAGAGCCGAGTCTGGTCTAATTATCTTACCCCATCGAATGAGCAACGAGAACAACTCCTACATCTCTGTCATGAGGAGGCCATGGCTTTTCCGATTTCTTCTTTCGGATGGTCATTACCTGCTCCTTGAGCCTGCATCGAGGGTCAGCAGTCTGGGCGTCTTTGATTTAGTTGAGTCGACCTACCACTCTAGAAAGCCCTCTGCGGCCTGAGCCAATTCACCCGTAGTCTCATACTTGGGATATACGATAGATTCGATCTTGTCGTCTGGGAGTTCTCTGGCGACTGCTTTTTTGAGGTCCTATGATGGTGTAAGTTTAAGCCACGAGGCTTGGGATTTAGCGTGGGCCACTACTCACATAGGGAAATTCATGAAAGGTATTACCAGTACCCTAACAATGTCAGTAGCTAATAGTAAAGGATATGCGGCTATCGCACCTTGAACCCGTGGATAAAACAAAGCAGTAGAGTACGCGGCATCTTGAATGTCGATGTTTGTAGGTTATCGATGATTACGTCTCAGAAGCAGAAACCTTGGGGTTCGGAGTAATAATGCAAACAAATAAATAAAGTTTATAGCAACAGCAGCAAATAATGACGTTGTCGGTTGTAGGACAAAGATGATGGAGTTCCAGGTTTTCCAGCCACACTCGGTCAGAGTATGCGTGGCGAGTGTGTATGGTACAAAAGAGCCAATCCAATCCTGTTGTGAGGGGATGAAAGGCGTTGACGTTTTGTTGGCGATAACGTCATTCTATGGCATCGTGCAGCACTAGCACCGGTCATTGGCCACGTTTTGGCTGCTAGCGCAATCAGAAGATCAAGATCAAGATCAAGATCAGCCCAGGAAGAAAAAGCTTGATTGTTTTAGATCCCTGCCTAGAAAAAAGAGATGCATTTTAAATTACTCAGTAAACAAACACCAGTAACTACGCCTTGGAGGCCTGAATGCTGGCGCTGGGCTCATTTGGCTTTGCCATCACTTGCAGTCTTGACCAACTCCTCCCACTCAATGTCCTCTTGATCATCAGCATGAATAAAAACACTCATGTTGACTGCCTTTTTCAAATATTCCATCGTACTAGCGTAGAGCATGCGAAGCTATTCCCCAGTCAGTAAGTTGAGCCGAATTAGCATGTGTCAGCCCTACCTTGATAGGCGAGGTCTGTGGAACCCAAGATATGAAGATGGTCTTAGTCCTATACATTTTGTTAGTAAATCCTGGTACCAAACCCGAGGAGCTCACCTTTTCCCATCTTCTCCAAGGTCGTAATCGACATCGTAGAGTGCATAGCGCGGAGCCGATTTCCCAGACTTGTCAACCGCCGAGAGAAGCTTCTGGCGGAAAGTCTCATACTCAGCATCAGGAGAAGTCTCTTCAACAACAACGCGCTGCTCGTCGTCGGTGATCTTGAAGATAACAAACTTGATCTTACTCGATCCTTTTGCAAATCGAAGATCATTGGCCGCGGTGATGCAGTCTTGGTCAATCAAAACACTGTGTCTCGAGATTAGTCGTAGAATGCGGAATGATTTCAATGACAGTACTTACCCAGAAGCAGACTTTAGACAAGATATAAGTCAGAATCAGATTAACAAGCTGCAAGACCAAGACAAACTTACCGCCATTTTGTGTGGTTTGCGAAATGTGTCGCCGATGAAAAAGAAAACAAGAGAATCAAGAGAACTGGAGAGCTTCGAGGTGTGAAATAGATTGAATTTCCAACAGCAAGCACATATCAGGGAAAAATACTTATTAAATAGTCAAAGGACCCTTTTTGTCTGACTAGATACCAGAGCGCGGTATCCGGGAAATATTCTTGTCTGGGAGTCTCTCTGCCTAGTCAGGCAGACAGATAATTTACTGCTGATGAGAGAGCGGATCTCATCCAAATGCTATCACGGTAGCCTTGAGGCTAGGGAGCAAGATGAGGGATTTGCCACGGCCACGAATTTAAGGCAACAATATTATTCGAATGTAAACATCAAATGTCTTACCAAATATAGTTGCCTTGGAGAAGTCTTGCATAATCATCAGCTGCCTGATTTTATTTATGGAAATGATCCACCAGTTACGCGTTTTAAGAAGATACATCTGGTTTCCTATACTCGATCATATCTAATCAAGTTCTCTACAAGATTACTCCCCAAAATCCATTGCAAACATATCAGAGGCAGGGGGTTGTCCGTTGATCCAATCAGCCAATATGTTGGTCATGTCATCAGTGAGAAAGCCCGCAAAGCCATCAGTTCCAGTTTGTTGTTCCGAAGGCAGAACAGCCATGTCCGTCCAAGTCAAGGGATCATTTTCGGACACGCCAGCCACCTGGAGTGTATCGTTATTCTGATCATACATGCCCACTGATGTGTTTCGGGATTCGACCATTCGACGGGCAAGTCGTGCGAACGTAGAACAGATTTGATAGAGCTTCTCAGCTCCAATGTTGATATCTCGGGCGCTCCGGAACGTGGTGACTACTTGCTCGAGAAGCTTTACGTCTTCAAGACTAGATGCTGCTATCGAGTGTAGGAATATGACGACAAAAGGTGTGAATGACGAGTTGTGGAGAGCCCTGCTAGTGTAAGCTGACAGGTCTGCATAGGCTAGGACTGACTTACCAGTCGATGTAGTCTGCTTTCGAGAGCATCTTGTCGCCACCATAGCCTGAGAATGCGCGTAGATGACTTTGTAGAGAGAGCCTTGCTGCTTGAAAGCACTGAGATGTCATGTCTGTCCCAATTCCTGGCATTGCTGGGGCTCGTAATAGAATGGTCAGAGTTGAATAGTACATGATGTCCCAATGGGTCTTTGAAAGCTTCAGAATCTCCGCAAAGCGCACTGTACTTCCATCCATCTACACATGTATCAGTTTAGTGAGCAACGGAGATCCAAAACATCTGGAAGGGAGCCTACATGGTCCAGTTCGTATCGCCATTGGTGCATGTCAGTAACCAATGCATCAATCCATTGTCTGCGATCTACAGCAGGAGATTGTAGTCCAGCAACAGAATAAAGTTTATCAAATATCAAACCCTGAATCTTGGCAAGCCTAACAGCCAGTCGAAACAATTCAGTCCAGGGCTTCTCCGCTGGGTCGTCCGGTATAGCAGGATAATGCGCGTCAACTTCAAAGTCCTGGATCCTCGAAGCGTTGCCGAAATGGAGAGAGTTTGTCTTGTCAAAGACATAAAGTGTCCAGAAAAGCCGACGCTTGTTGTCAGCGAAGCCACTCTGGTCTTTTTGATAGGTTACCTCTCGGTGGTAGCCCATCATCTGACAGTGACTGAGGCCTGCGTTGACTAATGAACGAGCCAGAACGGGAGCGGCTTCGTTTTGGATCTTGAGAACCTACGATGAATCGATAATTAATAAAAAGACTGACAGAAAAGGCAATCTAAAAATGACTGACCGCAGCTGTGATAACCAAAATGTTCTCAAAACTGGGAACCGTCATAATCTCAAAGGTTTGGAGACCTCGGTCAAAATTTCGCTCAGCCTGCGCTTTTAGTTCTTCCAGGTTATAATCCTCACCGAGGCTGTCCTTTGTTATGATGAACTCGCGGAGGAGTAATCGCATGATGCCATTGACGCTTGTAATATGCCCAAGGGTTACTGGTTCCGTTGGGAAGTAGACCTTTTGACACAGATGCTCAATTAGACGCACGTCAGTGAGGGCTTGACCAGGAAAGAACCTGGTCGGATTGGCTATATAAAGGGTTAGCTATTGGATTTCTAGTTACTTCTGAATGTGTTTCGGTCACCACCTTTGATCTTGCGTAGAATAGTAAGGACAACCGAAGCTGGGAGAGGTGTAATTTCTGGCATGGATCGAGTCGAGGCAGCGAAGGGTAACTTCTTATCATTCTGACTTTTAAAGATGGAATTCAACTGGTTGAATGATTCGCTTATTGTTTGTGCTGCTTCAGGACTCTCTGCAGCTGCAGAGCGTTGAACCTCTTGACTAGCCTGGACAGATTGCTGAAGAAATGACGATGTTCCCTCGTATAATGCACCGCCCGGAGATGGGGCTACATCGTAGACACTGGGCTCAGATGAGCCAGCTGGAGAAGCGGAGGAGGTTTCTTTCGGGCGCATGGGCGCGGATGTCGAAGCAGGTGTAGAAGTCAATGGCTGTTCAGGTTGTTTGTCTAGACGCAGCTCAACCTTGGCCAGTCTAGCTTCGAGAGTAGCCACGTAATCTTCTCTTTTGGGAGCTATAAGTAAATTTAAATGAATAGAGAGGAAAGGGGCTTACAATTGACTTATTCGGTTGTCTGGCCTTGAACGTGCATCTGACTGAACAGAATGAGCTTGTTGGCAAGCTATACCTGCAGCTTTACAGTTTCCGCAAGGATGGGACCTGTCACAGCGAATCTAGAAGAGTCAGAAGCTAAGAGACTGGTTTGAGTATAGTATTCACCTTGCGGACTTTACAAGCTTCACACTTTTGCATTGTTAGTATCTTGAGCTATAATTGGAAGAGAGGGCTTTGTCTGAGCAGTACGTACCGCCCGTGGGACCTGGGAGAGCCTAGCTCGCCTGGCTAGAATAGTCTCCTCTCCTGACATGACCCTGACGAACCAAGTTTCATCCACTAGCCGAAATTTGATGCAATGTGAGCTCAAAGGTTGTGTTGCGGGAGAACGGGCTCGCGGAGGAGAGGGAATGCTGACACCTCGCTACCTCGGAGGCGCGGGCCCGTGGTCCCGAGCCCTACAAGCCGCCCCTAATTCTGTTAGTGCAGATCATGTCGATTGGCTGTCCGTGTCCCCCGCGGGTCCGTCCACACGAGGGAGCGTGCAGGCAGTCTAGACGACAAAAAGACTCGGGTAAATTTGGTACGGACTAGGCACACCTAGGATTGATTATTTTTGGCACCTTGGCTGAAGCTGCAGCGTATTCAGGGAAGGGATTGATTGTCTTGGCAGGTAAATTATGGAAATGCAGTCAGCATGAGCCATTCTGTATGACCCGCTTGCGTAAGTCAGTAATGGATGTGAGCTCAGACATGTTTGCCCGTTGAGTTTAATAAGTATCCATCAACGCCACCCTCGTTTAGTTTGACATTAAACAATCTCAATCAGACGGTTCCTTTTACTTCTTTCTCCTGAGCGTTCTTTTAGGCTTCTAGCCTTCGTTTCATCTTCTCATCTTCTCCTTTACCGCTTTAATAATAGACTGTCCACTAACTTCCAACATGGACGCCGATAACGAGAAGAAGATCCTTGTTGAGGATTCAACTACAACAACAACACAAAGGGACGAGCCTGAAAAGCAGGCCGAACTTGGAGATCTTTGGGTATGACCAGTCTATTCTACTGTAGGAGATGAACTCACGACTTACACCTTGCAGCGCGTCTTTCGATTCGCCGACCGCCTCGACTGGATCCTCAACTTCACGTCCCTTATCTGCTCCATTGCTTCTGGAGCAGCACTCCCCTTGATGACTATTGTCTTTGGGCAATTCACAGGCCGATTTAGTGACTATGCGAGTGGCAAGATCGACCCCGAGGGCTTTCAGGACGAGGTCAACACCTTCGTCCTATGGTTTGTCTACCTCTTTGTGGGCAAATTTGTCCTCAGCTATCTGGCCACTTTGACTGTTACCGTTTCCGGAATCCGAACGACACGGGTACTTCGACAGCGTTTCTTGGAACACCTTCTTCGAACCGAGATCTGGTACTTTGATACGGCTAATGTTGGATCACCCGCGACGCAGATGACCACCAATGTTACTCGTATCAACCAGGGTATTGCTGAGAAACTGTCACTTCTTATCCAAGGACTTGCTATGTTCGTATCATCCTTTGTCGTCGCGATAGCAGTTCAGTGGAAGCTGGCTCTCATCACTTTGACTGTCGTGCCTCTCTTCTTCTTCATCATTGGTGTTGGAATGACCCTTGATGCGCCTATCGAAGCCAAGGTTCAGGGCAGTTATTCCCAAGCCAATGTCTTTGCTCAAGAGGTCATGGCTTCCATCCGAACGGTCCATGCCTTCTGGGCACAGGGCAGAATGATAGTGCGATACGATGACTATCTCAAGGAAGCTCACGTCCACGGAAAGAAGAAGTCTTTCATGTACGGTGTCATGAGCTCATCAACTTACTTTTGCATGTACGCTGGAAATGCTTTGGCCTTCTGGCAGGGTTTCCGCATGTACCAGAGTGGTGAGATCGACTCTGTCGGTACTGTATTCACGTAAGGCTCAAACTTCATAACGACTGCAAAGATGACTGACCCTTCATAGCGTTGTACTGTCTGTCTTGCTTGCATCATCATCGATCGGTCTTCTCTATCCACAGGTCCCAGCCCTGGCCAACGGCGCGGCAGCAGCTTCTGAGCTGTTCAAGGTCTTCGATAAGCCATCCTCACTGGATCCCCTCGGCGATGAAGGCAAGGTCCCTGAGAACTGTCACGGCCATCTCGAGGCAGAGAACGTTTCCTTCTCATACCCATCTCGACCCGACACAAACGTGCTCAACAACATCAGTCTGAACATCCCAGCTGGCAAAACAACTGCCATTGTTGGGGCCAGTGGCTCTGGGAAGAGTACTATAATTGGTTTGTTGGAAAGATGGTACCTACCAACCTCTGGCCGCTTCCTTCTTGATGGCATGGACGTATCCATGCTTAATGTCAAGTGGCTTAGATCCCAGATGGCTCTTGTCCAGCAGGTAAGATACCTTCGTTCTGTTTTCGAATGAGTTTAACACAGTTATAGGAACCTGTTCTATTCAGAGGAACCGTGTTTGAGAATGTGGCCAAGGGCTTCACAGAGGTACAGAAGGCCCTGAGCCTCGATGACCAGAGGAAGCTGGTGCAGGAAGCCTGCGAAGCCAGCTACGCTCACGAGTTCATTCAAAAGCTTGAACAGGTAAGCACGGTCCTCAACCTTAACCTAGCCTATCTAACTTCAACCTAGGGCTATAATACATATCTCGGAGAGCGAGGCGGTACGCTCAGCGGTGGCCAAAAGCAGCGAGTTGCCATTGCACGCAGCGTGGTCTCTAACCCAAAGATCCTTCTCCTTGACGAAGCAACAAGTGCCCTCGATCCCAATGCCGAGCGAATCGTTCAAAAGGCCTTATCGCGGGTGTCTCAGGAGCGAACCACGGTGGTCATCGCGCATCGAATATCAACCATCAAGGACGCTGATAATATTGTCGTTGTGTCAGCTGGCCAGGTCGTTGAGCAGGGTAATCACGAGGAACTTCTTGCACTTAATGCTCACTATGCCAGACTCATTCGTGCACAGAACCTTGCAGTTTCTGCGAAAGATGTTCACAAAGACATGAGTGCGAAGCAGGATGTGATCGAGGTCGAGACAGACGAGGAGGTGGCTCGCGTCATGACAGCACGAACTGAGAAGTCCATGCTGCTCAAGGATGGAGACGCCAAGCCTAAGGACCGCTCTATTTTAACGAGCATCTTCCTTATTCTCAAGGAACAAAAGACCCTTCTCCCTCACATCATTGTCGCAGCACTCGCCTGCAGTATCGCCGCAGCTACCTGGCCAGGTCAAGCTGTCCTGTTCTCCCGACTTATCACAGCCTTCTCTTCCAGTCAACCCTCTGCATCAGATGCCAACTTCTATGCCCTCATGTTCTTCGTCATTGCGCTTGGTAATCTAGTCGCCTACTTCACTATTGGATATATCTCCAATCATGTGGCCCAATCCATCTCTCATCAGTACCGTCTTGAATTGTTCAGTCGCATGGTCGTCATGAACATTGACTTCTTCGATCGAACTGAGAATTCTTCCGGTGCATTGGCTTCAACATTGTCCTCGGTCCCCACGAGCTTGACAGAGCTTCTGGGACTGAACATCTATGTTGTTCTCGTCATGGCTGTCAACATAACTGCTAGCTCCATTCTTGCATTGGCGTATGGCTGGAAATTGGCTCTTGTCATGGTCTTTGCAGGGCTGCCTCTTCTCATGGGTTCTGGTTACTTCAAGATTCGCCTTGAGTCTAGACTTCATGAGAGCAATGAGGCAAGATTCCGAGAAAGTGCCAGTCTTGCTAGCGAAGCTGTCTCCGCTTTGAGGACTGTTGCCTCTTTGACCGCCGAGTCTGACTTTATTCAGGCATACTCAGAGACTCTGTCAAGCATCGTCGCCCAATCAGTCAAGTCTCTCTCGATCTCAATGGTTGCATACGCCTTCTCGCAATCCATAGAGTTTCTGGTTATGGCACTCGGATTCTGGTATGGCTCACGACTCATCTCCTCTGGAGAGTATACATCAGAACAATTCTTTCTCATCTTCATGGGTATTTTGTTTGCGGGCCAAGCTGGCGCCCAGCTGTTTGCCAACTTGGGTAGTCTCACAAGGGCAAAGGGTGCGGCAAACTATCTCTTTAACCTGCGGGAGGAGCAATCTGTCGTTCGGGAGACCGATGAGAACAAAGATCGAGGTCCTGATCTTGGTCAGCCCATTAGTGTTGATAACGTTCACTTCAAGTACAAGAGTCGCAGTACCAAGGTCCTCCATGGACTTTCAATGGATGTGAGTCTCCCCTTTACTTATCTCACGAATACTTACTAACATTTCCCAGATCAACCCATCTCAGTTTGTTGCTGTTTGCGGTCCCAGTGGCTGCGGCAAATCAACCCTGGTATCTCTACTTGAGCGATACTACGATCCTACATCTGGCAAGATCTGCGTTGGCGGGCAAGACATCAAGGATGTTTCACCTCGTCTCTATCGTAATGAGATGTCTATGGTGCAACAAGAGCCTGTCCTATACGAAGGCAGTGTACGGGAGAACATATTGATGGGTCTTGATGGTGACATTGATGATACATCTGACGAGCGACTCAACGACGCTGCTCGACAGGCCAACATCCTCGAATTTGTCTCATCCCTTCCAGAAGGATTCAACACTCCATGCGGTGCACGAGGCACAGCATTCTCGGGTGGTCAGCGTCAACGAATCGCTATTGCCCGTGCTCTTATCCGCAGACCGAAGCTTCTTCTTCTCGATGAGGCAACTTCGGCGCTCGATACACACTCGGAGCAACTCGTCCAGGAGGCGCTGGAACAGACGAGAAAGGAAAGTGGATGCAGTGTGATTGCGGTTGCCCATCGACTTTCGACTATTCGAAACGCTGATGTCATCTTTGTGCTTGTTGGTGGAAAGGTTGTTGAGGTGGGAACACATGAGGAACTTCAGGCTAAGGGAGGTGTATATGCGGATATGTGTCAGGCTCAGTCTCTAGATAGAGAGGCCTAGGGATGGACCTTTTGTTTTGTTTTGTTTTGTATTTAGATTTAAACTTCTGTACTCATCATAGAGAGCTCACCTAGCTCATTTCTGTTACATTCTTTCCGCTACGCTTAAGATTAGTGTTTTTATTCAAACTTTCTCTTTTCTATACATCTACTCCACGACGGTGGCAAACGATATCCTACAGGATAGGTTCAGTCTGACTTAAGAGCAGTGGCATCCAACCCCTGCATATAGCTTGGACTACTCGCTTCGCTCCGTCGGAGCGGTCGGTACATTAGGGAGCACGGAAAAGTTTCTGAAACGTGCAATTAAGCCTATTCTTAAGCACCCTACACTAACGATGTTTGCGACAAGAAAATGGGACCTTGCAGCGATAACAATCCTTTTACTCTCCATTAATCCAACCCATCTGAGGTGGATTTCCGTTTTACCCAACAGGCTGAAATACTTCAGACGGAAAAGTCCACATTTGTTGCAACATAATGCCAGGAAATGGTAGTAACAAGATTCTTATCCGTAGAAAACGGAGCAAGACCTGGATAAAGAAGGTAACGAAATCCAGAAGCGTCGGAACCTGGCTCGCCGAACCTGGTCATAGTGGATCTTAATGCTGGCAAGTCTCAATACAATGCTGAAGGTTCAGAAAGAGTGGGATACCGGTAGTTGAGTCAGATAAAGTGTGGCTTCGAAGATCATACCTCTTGAGGGATATTCCCCTTTGGGACAGGGACGTTTGTATGATGCCGCTGTCGTAAGTTTAGTGATTGCGACCTTTCCATAATAGGATGGAAGTTTGTGCTGGAAGGATTATATCACAGTGATAAGCGTGCTGTAGGAACGTTGCATTTTAGCCTGTTAAAGCCAAGATGAGCTATGACAGGGTTTGTAGGTTTGCCCCTGCAGCCAACCACTTCAAAGGGCCGAAACTTAATCCCGTGTATTACCTCAAGCTGCTCAAAGCCCAAACTGGGGCAGCAAGACATAAATACAATGAAATCACTCGTATGAGTTGACTTATTCTCTCAAGCGTTGATCTTTATCAGCTCTGCAATCATGGCATCACCACGCTCTCTGCGACGTTTTGTCTTCGCTTCTCTCTTTTCCCTGGCTTTTGCTCAGAACAAGGCTGAGGAACTGACCAAGTGTCTCGACAAGGCTGGCGTAAGAAACGTCATCGAGTCTGACAGCCAATGGGCCGCAGAGACAACTCAGTTCCAGAAGCGTATTCGTCCCCAGCCTGCTGCAATTGCGTTCCCTGAATCTCGCGATCAAGTTGCCCTTGCGCTAGAATGTGCGCGAGAGGCTGATGTCCATGCAAATGCCCTTGGTCCTGCCCACTCGTTCCAAGGAAACGGCTTCGGAAAGCCCGGGAACTTGGTCATCAACATGGCTGCCTTTGACGACGTCAAGTATGACTCAAAGACAACCCTCATGACCTTTGGTGGCGGCACTCATGTTGGACCTGTTGCCAAGTATCTCTGGGACACTGCTGGACGCCATGTTCCTCACGTCCGTGGTGCCCATGTTGGTGTCACTGGATCTAGCATCGGAGGCGGCTTTGGCACCACTTCACGTTATCTTGGTACTCCCATGGATAACATTGTCGAGGTTGAGTACATGCTGTACAACGGCACCATCGTCAAGGCTAGAAAGGGCTCCGAGCTCCTTTGGGCTGCTCAAGGCGCTGGAGCTTCCTATGGCATCATTCTCTCCATGACTACCAAGACCTTCAAGCCTGAGTTTGACAAGGCCATCAACTTCACTCTGTCCATGGGCGATCTCAGCCCCAGAGACGGCGCCAGGGCGCTCGTGGCCATCCAGGACTACGCTACCAGCAAGGACTGCCCTGATACCTTTGCTTTCCGATGGAGCTTGATGGCTCCTCCTTACGATGGTACTGGATACTTCTATGGCAACCCCGACAGCTTTGACAGTGTGATTCTTCCTCTGGTGAATAAGCTCAAGACAATTAAATCCACTGTCGAGGTCAAGAAGACTGTCCTTCCCTGGTGGGACCTTGAAGTTGCTGTTGCCGGTGCTGGGATGAACCAGCCCGACGGCGGGTTTCTCGGTGGCCGAGCATTCTACACTCAATCTCTCACCACTACAACCGACCACCCTCTCACTCTTGAACAAGCTCAGATTCTTTTCGAGAGCACAACCCTGGCCTTCAACCGAACTGACCTGACAAAGTTCGCCTACCTTGATCTCTGGGGCGGTGTCTCCCGCAACATCAAGGATAGCGATACAGGTTATGCTCATGGCAGAAACCTGTGGTTGATTCGCTGGGACGCCAACGCTGTCAACCCCTTGGCCTTCCCTGCCGACGCTATTCCTTACCTGAGAGGTCTTATGAAGCCATTCGAGGATGCTCTTGTCAAGGGCGGCTCTAAACTCCGTGGCTTTGTCAACTATGCTGATACCGAGCTTACTGAAAAGGAGTGGAGTTCACGACTCTATGGTGCAAACTATGAGAGACTCAAGAAGATCAAGGCCAAGATTGATCCTGAGGGCCTGTTCACTGGTCACAAGCAGTCTATCCCGCTGCCTTGAGCTCCCAAGTATAGGAAATAAATGATTGTTGTATGTCGTTGGTCCAGAGAAGTAACGCATTTAAACTAAGCGTCCAATTGAAGAAAAATACCAAGTTTGAACATTTAAATCATAAAAATAACATCCCGTTTACCTAATTTCAATGTCTGCAAGTGAAATGGTTGCGCCAAAATTCACAGAGAGGCCGTGGCGAGTTGCCCAATTGGGTAGTGAGTGGGCCAGGGGCAACAAATCGCATTTGTCATTGGCTCATTTCATCTAAGCTTAATTCTGCTCCCGACAGTGCAAGTTCGGCCCGAGTAATATTGTTGATGACTGTTAAAAGTCAAAAAGAGGCTCGTGTTGAGAAGGAAAAAGAAAAACATATGAGGCACACCGGATTTGAACCGATAACCTTCAGGAATCTCCGTGCTTAAGAGCTGGAATCTGACGCGCTACCGTTGCGCCAGCGCCCCACTGTTGGAGAAATAGGTCATAAACAAAACTCATACTGGCTTGCTTGTCGTGAGGCCTCCATAGGAATAACTGGCAGTACAGCTTTTACATGTTCGCTACAAGTTCTTTAATATTGGCCCTTTTGAAGTTTGCATTTACTATAGACTTCATATAAGCCAAGTTTAGAGTACCTTGACGCCACCATAAGTTAAGATAATAGTGAAATCACGAATTAGACACCGAGGTAATTTTTTAAGGCAAGGTTCTCCGTACTCTATTGGGACCAGACAAATCGCGGCAATTGCCTTGAAATAAGGTTGTATCGAACAAGCATATTCCCCTGCCACCCCCGCTCCAACGTCGTCACGGACTTTAAGCATGCAATAATGCCGTCCAATCCAGGAACGTCAACATCATAACAAGCATAATGACGACAGTCAGGCTCTTTTTAGCCTGATCATTACTGCAATATTCGTAAGCAACACCTATCCTAAATCGTTGTATATATTCCCCTCCTCCTTGTTACCCTCCCACCTCAATGTCTTTCCGCCTCGCAAGTGATCACAATGAAGTTTTTCCAGCCAATTGCCATCTTTCTGTCTGTCCTTACCACTATTGCCCCGGGCGGGGTGTTGGCGGCGGAAGAATCGGCAGCTGCTCAACATCAGAAGGGCGAGACTGTGAGATACCAAGGACGTCAGTATTCCTTCCCACACAGTCTTGGCTGAGCACTGAATTGACTATTTTTTTTTTTCTAGTGAATCTATATGTATCCAAGCCCGGGAGGTTTAACCTTGGTCACAAGAAGCCTGGGAAAAGAACAGGTGTTCTTCTTCTTACCGATGTCTATGGCATCCAGTTGAAGGAAAACCGAGAGTAGGATTGTTCATTCAATCTTACTTTTCTTCACTAACTAATGCAGATTGGTCGATAACTTTGCCAAAGAGGGCTTCTTTGCTGTCGCACCAGACCTGTTCCGAGGTGACCCGGCAAAAGAAACTCCAGGCTTCAACATTACCGAGTTTCTTGCCAAGCATCCCCCCAGTGCCACTGACCCAATTGTTGCAAAGGCAATCAACTACCTACGCAATGAGCTCCAAGTGAACTCTGTCGCTGCAACAGGCTATTGCTACGGTGGGCGTTACGTCTTTCGTTCACTTGGCGAAAACGGCAAAGTTGACGCCGGCTTTACAGCTCATCCTAGTCTCTTGGCTACTGATGAGATTGAGGCTGTCAGAAAGCCCGTGTCGATCGCTGGTGCAGGTCGGTTTCAGCCCGTAATAACAATAAAGGAAAATTCAAAAGCTGATATCGATGTAGCCGAGGACCAGATCTTCCCCCAGCCCAGACAAGCCGAGACTGAAGCCATCCTCACTAAACTAGGCAAGCCTTTCACTTCGGTCCTGTACAGTGGTACCACTCATGGTTTTGCTGTTCGCGCAAATGCATCGGACCCACAGCAGGTCTTTGCTAAAGACGAAGCGTTCTATCAAGCTGTTCGTTTCTTTAATGCATGGGCCTGATCCACAGTACCCAAGTTGCAGACCATGACCTCCTTGTAAATTATCAGCAGAGGCACTTCCACTTTCCTTCTCTTGCACAGAGTCCTGGCACATGACAGGCATTGTGCACCATATAGTTATCTAATAGTACTTTCCACTGTTGTGCTTACCATACCCTTTCCAATTTGTACGTAGAGGAACCTGAACCACGGTTATTCTCTAAATACACTGGGATTCGGGAAGTCTTTGAGGCTCATAAGATGATCGAGTATTATAAGGAGAAAAAGACAATATCAGGACCAGATTCTCACAGAGTAAGATCAAACTCTCTAGGCCTTACAGATCATCGCGACTACGTAGACTTTGCTACAAGAATAAAGACCTTTCAACGAAATATAGCCAAAGTAGCCATTTTCTCCGTCACAGTCAAGGACGATGCCTTTGCTAGTGGCTTCCACGTAGTCAGGCAAGACGCAAGAGCACCGGCGATAATCGTAAACTCCGACAAAGGATGAACTGGAGATTATATTGCAGGGATTGAAGTGGCCCACCAAATGAAATCAGAACTTATCTATGTCACACTAATGCTTGAGAGGCGGAAAATGCCGAACAAAGAGTTGGGGATGAGACAAACCAAGTCAGGCTAGCGATGAAGCCCGGTTGTGTTCACCGCTTACGCGTGTTTGGCCTCGCAGTTAGTCACTTATATCATCACAGACTAGTTCTGAAAAGGATTATGCTCGGGGTTCTCGGGCTTGTTACCGTTCTCTTATTGGCTTCCAAACGCTGTGGCTACTAACTTAGTTTGTTATTTGAGTTATCGTCAAGACTACGATAATACATCATCGAAATAAGGATTTGTCACTGTGTGAAACTGATTCCTGATTGGCAGAAACTTCATGTTACTTGCTGTCATGCGTTGACTTCGCAGACTGGCTCTGCCGGCTTCTATGCCAACGACCAACATGAAGTAAGATATAAAGCAGCCTTAAACTGCTGCAATCCAGTCTGTGTAGTCTGCCATTAACTTACGCTTATTCCCATTTCTTCAACGCTCAAGTTCCTACCACAATGTCCGAGCATCAAACGGCTATCCCCAAAGGATCCTGGGTTCTTGTGACAGCTGCAAACGGCCACACTGGAAGTCATATAGTCTTCGAGCTACTGAAGAGAGACTTCAAGGTCCGCGGCACTGTTCGAGACTTGGAATCCAGCCAGTGGCTACTTGAAGATAAATTCGTTTCCAAATATGCCGAACGCGGCCATATCGAGCTTGTAGTTGCGGACACGACCAAACCCCATGACTTTGACAGAGCCGGACAGGGTGTCGCGGCTGTCATACATGTTGCAGTCATTGGAGACTTCATTCCTGATCCCAGTGTTGCTATTCCAGCTACTATCGAATCAGCCTTGTCTGTTTGTCGATCAGCAGCAAAGGAGCCATCAGTTAAGCGGTTCGTCTTCACTTCAACCTTTTGGGCTGCCACCTTTCCAGTCCCTGGTGTCAGTGACACCATCACAAATCTTGACACTTGGAACGATGCTGCGATTCAGGCTGCTTGGGCCTCTCCTCCATACGAACCGGATCGAATTCTACCGGTGTATTTCGCAGCCAAGGTTGAGGCAGAAAAGGCCGTCTGGAATTTTGTCAAAGATGAGAAACTCCCCTGGGTAGTCAACTCGGTCAGCCCTTGTTTTATTCTGGGAGACCCCCGAGATGATAAGCATCTACGGTCCGTACCGCCCCAGCTCGTTGAACAGCTGTATCTGGGGAATATTGAAAAGCTGCAAACCCCTGCTAGTAAGTATTATCTCCATGACTGATACTTGCGACTAATTATGAGAAGTGTATTACAGCCACGTCGCCGATGTCGCGATCATTCATGTCGCCGCCGCAGTCGACCCCGACGTACAAGGTCAACGCATTCAAGTTCTTGCATCATCTTTTACATGGAATGACTGTCTTATTATCCTACGAAGCGCTTACCCGAATCGTAGCTTCGTTGATAACTTTATTTCGGGTGACCCAAAATTGATATACAAGATTGAGAACGATATTGCTCTTGATCTCATACAGAAATGGGCCGGGCGTGGTTGGATCAGTTTGGAGGCGAGTGTCACAGAAGTAGTGGATTACTTGATCAAAACCAAGAGGCTGGATGACAAGTAGGCAAAGTTTATCCTATTCTCATAGATGGTTGTCGTGGCTTATCTGTAGGCTTATTAATTAGCCTAATGATGATATACCATCACCTGATGATTGACTTTGGTCCCCGCTGAGTCAGATTCTCATTAAAAAAAAAGAAGACCAGTTCTGACATCCCCTTCATTTCTTTTTATCTTTGTCATCTTCGTATTAGCTCATCAACAATGGAGAATTGTACTAGAAACACCGAATATCAATCAGTTTTTCAGAGACAAACGACGCTAGTCAGAAGAAGAGGCCGCGGTCGATTACCAAAAAGTCGACCAGTTGAAGAACCGACAAAGTTTCAACCTGGAACGTTGCAATTCATCAACTCTGCTCATCCAGACGAGATCACCAATGCAAAGAGTATCAGACTAATAAGATCACACGCAGCAAAACTTTCCCGTGCTCTACAGAAGGAAAAAAAGCAAGATGAAGCTCCGCTCGAGGGTGAAAACCCTCAAGCTGAGACAGAGTTGAGATCACTTGTTCACCCAGCAAGCGATACACGATACCGAAAGATCATGCCTAAAGCAAAAGTGCATAGACAGATCGAAAATCGACCGCCAAGTCCACTCCAGTTGCTCGGTGGTGCTCGCAGTGACGCATACACAGGATTTGCAAGACCACTGTCACATGATGAGCACTATCTCTTTGATTTCTGTACGTCTGTTCTTCTCGACCTTCAGCCAACTGATCCAACTAATATGTTGTATCATAGATCTCAACTACGTTATTTCTTACGGATATACAGCATGCTATGCCCAAGACGATGAGCAAAACTTTAGTTACCTGATGAGGCATATCTGGGTGCCCAATGCAATGTCTAAACTCAGTCTTATGGCTGCCGTCTTTCAAGTGGCGTGCCGGAACTATGTCGCCGCCACAAATAACAGCCTATCGAGCAAATTTGCGGTCAAAAAACTTCAATATCGACTAATGTGCATCCAAATGGCTAAAGACGCCATCGAGTCGGAGGTTGTCGCTACAGATACAACCATCGCACTGGCCATGCTGATGGCCTCTGAAGCAGTGAATATCCCTTTCCCTTTTTTCCTTTTTTCTTTTTTTCTTTTTCTCTTCAAGAGTGACTAACTTGATCACCGCAGTTCCTTGAAGGAGATATGAGTGCGTACTGGAGCCATGGTGCTGGCGTTATGAAAATGGTGCGTGCACGAGGAGGCGTCGATATGCTGGGAATGTCGGGATTCTTGACTAGGACTGTCTCGGAATCTATTTACCTCACGTAGACCAATATGATAGCCGGCCCAGATGTCTTGGATCCAAAGACAATTGTCTCATGAGGTACAATATGTTGCATAGCTACCAAATTTCAAACCACTGTGCAGATCTTGGGTCGTAGTATACAATTCTGCGTGCAAGTCAGTGGTACGTGTCATATCTCGGCTCATTGAAAAAGGTTTTCAAATATGCGAATATGCTGTGTGATCAGAATGAATAACTGCATGTTTCTATATGTGCATCTTTGGTTAGCCGAATTACTCGGTCCCTAGTTATTGTTTTGGATTAGATATGAGAGCCCGCTAAGTATAGGCTCAGCTCTTCTCGACTGACCTTATCCAGTAGCTCTTGGCTTGTAAGGGGTTCTCCATAACCCTGTTTCGAGTCGTCCAGAATTGGCCACTGACGGGGTCGGCATCGAGTCGATAGGACTTGTCAGGCTTGAGTTTGGATTTTTCGATGTATTCGAAGTCATCTCTAAACAGTTCCTATGACATATGTCACCATTTATTATTAGGTTCAGATTGAGTAGTAGTCTCGGTGCCGAAACGGCGAAAATCGTTCTACCTTCGTATTGCAATACGCAAGAATACGCTGCTACTGCCTTAGCCGTGCAGAGACACGTCTACATGCTGACAGACAAATCAAGTTCTCATTCAAAAGCAGATATCCCATTGAAGACATACGCCCAATAGTATCTTATTTGATATAGCGGTGGTTGAGGCGTATTCAAAGGCCAATCGAAGGACGTAGCTGCGGAAACATGTGAAATCACAATAGTCTCAAAACAACATATAAACCCATTGAAACTCCCTTTTTCAAGCCAGAATATCAGCAGAGCTGACGCATCTTCTCACAATGTTTTCTAAAACTACCTTTCTTCCCTTTGCAGCCCTTATAGCTCTCACAGCTAGCCAAAATCTACAGGCCACTCTACATACAACATCATGGAACTCAACATTCAAACTCTCGCCTCAGCAACTTAGTCTTGCCAACTTGACCACTGAACAAGGCGCGCAGATCAACAACATCATCAACTTTGACCGAACTCTACTCGCCAATGGTGGTCCTCACCAAGATGGCTTTTACACCCTGCCCCCTGGTCTGAAGATCCCCAAGGTTGCGGGCGAGCTTATCAAGTTCCAAGAAATCACAGATCCAGAGCCATACACGATCCCTGCTTCGACCGCAATGTCTCGTTTCCTCTACTCAACTAGAAATATTAATGGTACTCTTGTTCCTGCTTCTGCTTACATCCTTTGGCCATATACCACCAAGAAAATGAAAAGCGTTCCCGACGGAAAGGCGCCAACTGTACTTTGGACTCACGGCACATCTGGATGGTATCCCACTGCCGCACCATCTACCCACCGCAGTCTCTTCTATCAGGACTTTGTGCCATATGCCTTGGCTCTAGCAGGGTATGCTGTCGTGGCCCCTGACTACGCTGGTCTCGGCGTTGGCACCTCATGGAAGGGGACTGCCATTCCTCACGAATATGGCATCTATCAGGCTGGTGGAGCAGATGCTCTCAATGCTCTGAGAGCTGCTTTAACTGCATTTCCACAGCGTTTGACAACTGATTATGTAAATGTTGGTCATAGTCAGGGAGGTGCCGTTGGATGGGGTGTCTCTGAGCTTCTTGCGGAAAAGAAGGGAAGATTCAAGGATCTCGTTAAGGGCCATCTAGGAACCCTTCTTTTTGCCCCACCGACAGATGCATTCTCGTTGCCAGCTACTTAGATTACTACCTGGGTTGGTAAATATCTGAACCAAGTCTATCCTGAGTTCAAGCTTAGTGACTGGCTTACACCTCTGGGTATCGACCGAGTCACTCTTTTCAACCAGGTTGAGGGATCTCAAAGCGTCAGCGGCTTTCTCTTCCGCTCTGAAAAGGAGATAGTCCAGCCTGACTGGATGAACACATGGTCTGTGGCCGCTCTCAAAAGAATCGTTAACCCCGGTGAGAGGCCTTGGAAGGGACCTCTGCTTATCATCCATGGTGAAGAAGACCCAGCGGTGCATTACAACGCATCATTGGCTACTTCGAAGGCTACTTGCGAGAAGTATCCTGGTGATCTGGAGTTCTTGGGTGTTCCTGGAGTTGGTCACTTTCCTGGTATGTATGCAACTAGGTCGATTTGGATGGATTGGATCAAGGATCGGTTCGAGGGACGCAAGGTCCAAAAGGAAGGCTGCGTTCAGTCCCAGGTTGATCGTTTTCTACCCGACGATCATTATCAGCATGATCCAAATTCCTTCCCTTTGTGGGCTGGCAAATCTGAATGGGCTTATGAGCTTCCCCAGGGTCATTAGTCCCAGCAACGACAGAGGAGTGACAGAGTTGCAAAGCGAGATAGGAGAATTTGAATTGAAATTCTTAGACATGTGAGACCGAAGCCTACCCAGACGTGACAGAATAGTTTAGTCTCAGATTCAGGATGATATAACTACATCCATACCATGCAAACCTTTTCAGCAGAAGGCTCAATATTCCGAAGTCCATTCATCCATTCGTAAGTCTGTCAGTTCTATCTCCATCGTCACTTCCAGCCATGCTCGTTCTCGTACTAGAAGATGTCGCCACCAGACATAGCACTGCTTCTATTTTCTTCATCTTTAGAGCCATCGAGATCAAGAAAAGAGCACTCCTTAGGATCGTTATAAAATGAGCCGCCAAGCTGTTTGATTACTTCACAGCGCTCTGACATAGTAAAGGCGTTTCCGATCCTTCCCAGGCCTCTCTTCTCAGAGTCAAACAAGGTAGTATGTATAGCCCAAACACCACCGTCGGCCGGCCAGCCCACGAACAAGCGGGGAGCATCCGGATCGTCGTTCTTGTCTTGGTCTGAAAGTTGATGGAAGGGGTCGCGGTACCATTTGGCTCCAAGCTGTCGCATTTTGGCACAGTGAGCCTCCTCTTTGTCAGGCTCGTCTGACTTGTTGGCGGGTTTGAATCGATCGATACCAAGGAACACCAGTTCTGCTGCTGAGCACAAATGGCTGTAGTAGCCGCCCTTTGCGGGCCAGCCTATCGCTACACCGCCGAATCTACCCCCGAATCGGCACCGGGGAAACCATGTAACCCCAAAATTTCCATGAAAACCACCGTCTGACAGGTTGTTAGACATTTGAGGATTGAATTCCTCAGTTTCCAGGAATGTATTTTGACCAGATTGATAGGAGGTGCAAGAAATACCAAGAAGGAGACAAGCAAAGAAGGAAATCAGAGTCGCGTATGTGAACATCAGGCAGTTTCTCGATACGCAAAGGCATGAGCGGATTGATGTTGGTGCCTAGAGAGGGGTGTTTTATGCTACCTAGCAGGTATCCTTGTGGAATAGTGGATGTTCCGATCCCCGGGCCCCGTTGCCACCAGGCATTAATTACCATGGATGTCATGAGGGAGCTGGATGCTATTGCGCACCCAACAAGCTCATCTTTTCCCTTATCACTTTTGTCATAAGAAGTATCAGAAGTGGTATCATCCGAGCCCTCCGGACATTACCGGAATAGGGTTGTTTCGGAAATTTCGGTCTGCCACTCTCTCTGGGAAATTCCAGCGAATTAAATGCATTGAACGAGCTCCCGTCGTCCAGAGACTGTTGGTTGTTGTTGGCTCATGTCTGTGCGTAAAGTATCAGGTGGTCTCGTGTATATCGAACAGTCCAAGATTATGACACTATGACGCTGGGTCAACCAACTCCAAAGATCATTCGATTCCTATCAGGCCTCCCATCAAATCAAATCTTTTCAATCCTGTCTGTTGGTCGTTATCTGTAGCTGTTTGAGCATAGAAAGGATTCCGAGTCATAGCAAAGCCCAAAATACACTTCAGGGAGTTTGACAAAGACAAGCATAAACCCGGCGAACGTGGATGTCCCGAGTTGTGTGTATTCCACACCATCCTGTGGCATATCCGTTGGCAATTTAAAATATCATTGTGGTTTCCCATAAGTCCAGGATGCTCGTTCCAGCGGATCGTGTTCAGCATGCTAAGTTTAAAGCAGGCTATAGGCCGAATGTCACAGGAGAACCTGTGTATCCTATACCGTATTTGTTGATCGGCTCTTGTTATTCCATGGCTAGCACAAGTCTACAAGATTCAATAAATCAACACTCACGGTGTTCGGTTGTGAACTCAGTCTGGATCTGATGAGGCTTTAATTCATCCTTGCGAGTACCATTTCCCACATTCCTCCGTCTGTACCCTGACTCTAATCACCGTCTATTGGTATGTCTGTTGGCAAGTCAGAGGATTTACTTGAAACCGTATGTCAACCAACTGCATTCATCACCATGCATAGTAAGAGGTCAAAGCCTAGATCTATTTATGGTACTCTCTCGAAGACTGGCACAACCTTCGGGACTGCTCAAGCACGGCATTATATATAGATGAAGAGATAATGACCTCCAGACCACAATGTTCAAGCAGATCGATTCATTATAACAAGATTTCTGTAACTATGAAAGTCCTTTTCACTTTTATCTTTTCGTTGACCTACCAGCTTCTGCCTTTCGTGGCACCAGTCCATTCAAAGATTGATGACCGTCAGGCAGCTATCAATACCCTGAGGGAAGCATTGGCAGATAGTGAGTACAATCTGACGGATGCAGACGGAGATATTGGTGAACTGGCCACGAGGCTCTTCGGCTGGCAAGGCTGTGGCGGCTGGGGCTCTTCTAAGAGAAAGGCCATCTACTCTGGCTGGGAGCAGTCCTGGAAAATGATGGATGCAGTTCAGGGAAAGAGTCTCAACTGGAATGAAGCGGCTGCCGTTGAGTATCTTGCTCCACCCTTCGTAAACCAAGAAGAGCGAGCCGCTATCAAGAGTATGATTCCCACTGGCTGTTTGACTTGTATGTGTAGTGCTAATCCGAATCAGACATCATTGACACTGTTGTAACCGTCAGGGGCGGTAGTAATCTCAACCCACTTAAGTGGTGGCTTCACGTTCGATGCGACGATCCTGACGGCAAATGCCCTTGCAACCCAGGCAGCGGTGCTCTCATGGCATACACGACCAACAGGGATTCCGGCTCCGGATACGCGCGTATCAACTTTTGCCCTGCCTATTTCGAATTGCCAAATCTTTACCAGGTTGTGAAGGACAACAGTAATAAAGAGTTACCTATTGAGCATCGTGCAAATCTCAACAACTATTACAAGAACAAAGGCCAGTTTGAAGAATTAGTCACCAATTCCTGTGATGGTTATGCCAACAGTATCTCTAGGTCGCGTTTGGTTCCACGAGTTGTTACATATCGACTGGGCTTCTGGAGTGGACTCGCCATACCATATCACTGATCTTATCTGCATTCTAACTGATCAAGATGGCGTGCCCTTTGACCTGCCCATTTATGGTCCGCAGCTAACTAAGGGCCTGGCCAAGTTCAAACTTGGTGCAGCTTGGTGGCTTAAGAGAAATGCAGATAACTTTGCCATGTATGCTATGGCCAAAACTGCACAGAAGGCTACTGGCAACTACCCCCATCTTCCACTGGCAGTGACACTCAAGGGAGTACAGGACAATCCCGATCTCTTCATGACGGGCAACATCATCATCGATCGAGAGGGAAGGACAACCATGGTCGGCCCCAAAGATCAAGGTGAATGCCAGGCTCCTGGTGACGAAGATGGTCCTGGAGATAAGGATAACGTCGTCCCTTTCAACTCTAGCGCATGGTTCATGGACGAGAGCTACTACCCCGAGGACTATAACCGCCAAGTGAGGGGCTGGTTGGCCGATGCGAATCCTCGCCACAACCGTGTTCGCATCGTGCTGATGCAAACCGCAGCCGGCCCTCAATGGATAGTAGTCCAGGATACGCCTGAAGACCCGATCAAGGACTTTTGCCTTGCAGAAATCCTATCCAAGGCTCCCGCAAATGGAGACGAAAACAACTTGGAGTTTCCAACCAAGCTTCCTGCATTCGAGGCCCACGGTGCCAAGGGGTGCGTTTATTCTGGTACTTCTAACATTGTAGGTAGTTTGGCTTGTGAGGGTGGTCCTTCGGATGTTCGATGTTGGGAGGACCCTGAATGGAGGGAGATGTCTTATTGTGATGGGGGAAAGTACATGCTGGGAATCAAGTGTGACTGGGCATGATTTGTTGCATATTTGAGTGCGATATTGTCTGGTGGTTGTTTGAGCCAGTACTTGTTATTTATTGTGGTTCAATTATGCATTCCAATTGTCTCTACTTATCAAGTTCAAATCCCAACGCAGCAACGCTGATCGCCACTCACTAAGTTCTCTGTGCTGATATAAGCTCACAACCATCGTACTCTACTGACGACTATGCGATGTCTCGTCGTAGGAATACAGCATCAACAGGAGGGTCTTCGTCGTCCAAGTAGTGACCAGGCTGCATGTGAATCAGCCTATATCCTCGCCGTTCATACCAATCCTGGTTAGTTGACTAAAATGTGTCAGCTTTGTTAATGGCAAACATTCACAACGGCCAAGACTTACGCCCAACTCCTTTCCGTTCTTCTCTCGGTACAACTTCTTCTGCATTTCCTTCTCAGCGGTATCAAGTGCGAGGGTTTTGGCACATAGTGGCTCCTCAATTGCCATTGACTCAACGATGTCCATGGCTGCTCGCCCGATGCCTTTGCTTCGGAGTGCTTTTGAGACGTAAAATGTCTTGATCCAGTAGACGCCTTCCTTGGGAAGATCTAGTACAAAGTTTCCTGTTTTCTCGTTTCTGTCGTCGAGCGAGATATGGCCCACGGGGTAGAACTTTGTATGTGTTGGTTTTCGGGGTTTGGCTCTGAGGCTTTCGGCTGTGTCAACCAATGGCGCCTTGTCCTGAGAGTCGTCAGTCATGTCCAGTATTTATGAGTTTCATAAGCTGACTTCAGGGTACGCATCTAAGTGCAATTGAAGAGTTTCGCGGGTTTCGGGGTCATCTGGTCGCAGCGTCTAGTCAAAGTTAAACGTCTACAATTGTGAATCGATTCTTGGGGAAACTAACGATCCAGAAAATGGACTTCTGGCCCGAGACTTGTCTTTCTTTCCATCCTTCAACTAATTGCTTGTCCCAACCGCATTGAACTCGCTGTGCATAAATGCGGTTGACATGCTCTGGAGAGTTGGGGTCCCAAGGGACTAAGACAAGCTGATCTTGACGTGTTGCTGACGGCATAGCTGATTCGATTTTGTATCTCAAACTTTTATCGCATCAAGAACAGATAGACTATTAGAGTTTTTGGGGAAAAAACCCCGAAATATAGAGATAATTATTGAGGCTTGAATTAACTATTTGTCATACACGGTAATGAGTCATTGGAGGGCGCGGAATACGAGTTTGTCCGAGACAACTGGTGTGATTTCTTCGCTAAATGACGCGCCCGGAGTTGGACATTTCGCCCCGAACTTCCTTTCTTGTTCAAAGCAGCGAGACTCATGGGAACTTTTGAGTACTACAAGCTCAGTCGAGTTTCCTCCGGTCTTACAATCGACAGCTTGCCATTCTATAAGTTTCAGTGTCGAGTTAGTTCAGTAACTCCACTTACTGAAACTGAGTGTCTCCATTGTCGTGTAATGAGCTTCTCGACGGATGTTTAAAGTTTCACATAACATCTATGCTCGGAAAATTATAGTCAAGTCAACTTCTACGCAATTTACTCTTGATCAAAAAGATCTTTTTTCACTCAACTGTATAGTATGAACCGCAAAGCTCCGGCCACCATTTCAATTTCAACCAGAGATACACACCTGTACAGGGTAAGACGTTAAGTAACGCATAGCCTTAACGTTATCGGAGCTTGAGATCAACTTGTTGAGGTTATGGGTGTCACATTCTTCGGCAGTTGTAATTGTCCAAGAGGGTGTCTGTGTGTTGCTCCGTGAATACTTTGTGTTGATATCCGTGGGCGTGTGAGGGCGTCTGGCCAGAGATAAAGTCTGTACAAAGCACGTTTTTGTATTTCGGGCGATATCCAGTAAGGGTTTCTCACGGTCAATCAGTAAAAGAAACGTCATTTTGAATTGTCGCGTTCACATCCCCTCCGTCATCAAATATATTGAAAAGACCTCAACTTCCTGTGCCAACGTCACATCACCCAAGCATAATCATTCTATATCCCATCTATTGAATCCAGTATGGTATCCCCGACACACGCTCCCAAAACAATTCACAAAGGAATACAAATACAGAGAAATTGTGCTATCTAGTGTATAATCATCAACTGTCTGTCAAGCTCTTGATCCTTTTCCATGGTTGCTTTACAGATTGCACTCCTTCCAAGGCGGACTAACTCAACAACAAAGTCATTGATAAGCTTCATATGAGAGACTTCGGAAGTGGTCAGTCGGCGCACTGGGAGATTGTTGATTAGATCAGCGGCTGCTTTGAGAAGCTCAAGGTCTTGCTCAGCCCGTTCATGGAGTGGATACAGCAAGATGTTGAAGAAGAGAGTGATCATGGCTGCTGTGGGGTAGAAGACAATAACCCTACACACGAGTTAGTCACGGAGCTGGATTCGGTTTGCGTGGACTTTTCTTACCAGAATGCTTCACCAGCGACTCCACACATTGCTGCCCGCAAGTATACAAGTGTCGACCGACTAGCTTCCAGCGCAAGAGCATTGCTCGATTCGACTCCAGGAACCCATTCGGGCTGGTCGTTAGGGTTTCCGGGATCAGGCTCCATGCACCTGCCACTTGCTCGATGGATTGCAATCATGAGATGATGATAGTCCAAATGCAGAGTGATGTGTCTCATACTGCGAGGGAGATGCATCCCTTGAAGGGCGACTTGAGACTCGTTGGTGATTGACAGCGCTGGACGGAATGAAGGGGGTAGAGATTGTCTCCATGCTTCGAGCTCTTCGTCAAGCTCTCTGATGTCACAAAGTAGTTGTGCATGAGACTTCTTAGCAGCCTGAGCCGAATATAGAAGACGACTGGTTTTGTCTTTGAGTTGACTCAGGCGAGGGTCGCCCGGAAGGTGGGGCATGAGACTCTCTTCGTCGAAGGAAACTTGGGGGAGGCTTTCATTGAGTTTGGGTAGGTATTCATAGCAGTCGTAATAGGTCTCCGGAAGGGTGAGATCACAATACTCGTCGGACATGAGTGGCGGTTGACCTGTCCGTAGAGCGATATCTTTATCGAAGATATAGCACAGCCAGAATAGCATGCGAAGTTGACGCCGTTCCCTCTCTGAGCGTGTGACTTGCGAGCCTCGCGACTTACACGATATGTTCGTATGGCCGCCAAGGGTGAACACCATGCGGCACGCAATGGCATGGAACATGGCGCCGGACCGAAGGCGTCCAGAAAATATCTCATGCATGTTCTAGACGTTTGTCAGTTCTAATGTGGACCAATCCTCAGTTCAAGTCCTTACCAGCATGAAGACTATTTGGAGGTTGTTGATACTAGCTATTTCTAGGACATCTGTGAGTAGATAACGTGCTTTTGTGGCACATAAGTCTGTGTCGATACTTATCCCTTCTGCAAATGTATCTTGGAAGAGTACTATCATTGAGAGGAAAGCCAAAACGCCAACCTTGGCACTAAGATGCTCCAAAGAAGGAACATCGCCAGTGTAAGGCTGATACGCTAGTTCAATGGTATCCTTGAACAGAACCCGTTCCACGACGGGAAATACCAAACTGAAAGAGGAATGGATAAAGGCGTCAAAAGCCTTCTCAGTGATACTTCTATCAGGAAGTTCGTACAAGTCACGTTGATCATGGTAAACGTGAGGTGCAGGTGATTGGGAAGGGTTGGAGTGATCTGTGGCGCCAGGATTGAGAATAACTTCGTGGCCAGTCTTTGAAATTATCCACTGTCTTCCTTCTTCTGAAAGCAAAGGTAGTCCATTGTGCTGACTGATGTGGCCAAAGTGACAGCCACCGTAATGGAGTTGCCCATAGGAAACAGAGCTGGTGAAACCGCCGGCAGGAGATGGGGCCTGAGATATAAACGGAGATCCTTGGGATACGCTTGCAGATCTCGAATCGGTAGCTCTCAAAAAGGAAGAAGATGGCCGGTTGAATGACAACTTTTGAGGGGTATCGTTGGTTGAGTCTCCAGTACCAGGGTCTGAAGTCTTGTGGGGGTCAGTGGCTAGTGAACTTGGAGTCAATGGTTTTGCTGCAGTGTTTTCTGAGTTCTTCTGATTGGAAAGTGTGTGAGAAAGAGCATCTTCAATGCGCTTGAGGCGCTCTGCCAGACTTTGCTCTGATGTTTGACGGGATCTAATAGACGAGTTAAAATGAACTACTCCACGGGGCTGAACGCCACGGTCTGAACCTACCTGGCCTTGGCTGTCTTTTTACGCCCTCTCACTCGGTTAAACGTACAATCCAAGCCATGGTGCTCACACCAGTTGCAGGGTGTATCTGAGCTTGTTGAATCGCATTGGATCTAGAAGATTGGGAGCAATTTGTTAGCCAACTGGATAAGAATGCGTTACACCTTCACAAATACAAGCATGCAGGATGGGATGGATAGCATCAAATCTCGCCAAGGGATGGATGGAACTGATCGATAAAGGGGAAGCGGAGGTACCGGGAATGAACGGAGATGGGGCCTCGTATACGTACCTTTCTCTTATGACAGGCATCACAGGCCCGTTTCTGCATCATGATTACTTATTCCGCTCTGACATGCAAGTGAGACTAGATTGGAGGAAGAAGGGAGGCGGGTTAATTCGCCGAAATCGAGTCTGCCAACTTGGACGTTGGGCTCAGTTCCACAACTGAACCAAACCAAATCAACCGGCCGGAAGTTTTGAAGAAAATAACAGTAAACGACGATATGGTGTAAGCCTCCGGCTGAAAAGCCAAGATATGAGGCAAAACGAGGCTAATGTGTCAAAATCGCGGTCTTTTGGCAAAAAGTCCACGACCGAAAGATTCGTCAACGCGGAACATGAGGCTCTCCGAGGATGGTTCGGAGGATGGTCTTGAAGAAGAATGCGACAAGACCGCTGAATAAGCGGAGGAAGCTTAAAGCAGAAACGACGACGAGGTCAGCGCTAAACGACATCAGACAAAGTGTCAAACCTTGAACCGGGATCCCACGTGAAGATCACGGCCTAAACTTGGACTAGACATGGGTTGATCTGCCGAGGATGTTGACTAAGCGGAAGATTCAAGAGTTCCTCTTCTTCCGGCCCATTTTTACCAGCGGCAGATACTTTTCGATTTATAGACAGACCGGTCCTCAATTACCCCTTGAAAATGATTCCAGCTGATCCTGTAGGGGCCAAGGTCGGAAAGACGGTTATAAAAAGACCGACTCGGATGCGGCTCGTTATCTTTTGCGTCATCATTTTTACTTTTTACGCAGTCGGAGCTCGTCGCAGTTTTTTACAGTCCGTCTCACATCTTAACGAATGCGAACCTGGCTGTGCAGGTCCGTTCCCTCGTAGTCGGTCTTTTCGCACTCATTTATTAGTCCGCCATAACAACAATTAACTTTGTATTCCTAAGCTGGTATCCGTATTTGTAATTGCAGCCATTGTTGTCATTTTTGTTGTGACGTTTGCTCAAAAGCACGTTTCACAATGGAAGCATGTGAATCCTGCGTTGAATGCGGCTTGAATAGCCCCTGTAGGATAGGCCGTTTCCCTTCTGTCTGAACTGAGGCTAGCGGTTGAGTCACCACTATCTCCCATGCGCTATGCACGCTGCAGCACTGTCACCAACGGCCCAACACCACAAAGGCCGAATTGACTAAGCGGTAAATTTGACCTGGCGTAGAACATTCTTATCAGGGTCCATAGATCAACAACTTCCGTCAGATCCAAGTGGATCGAAGAACCCGCTCGTACTAAAATGCTTGTCAAGAAAGGAACCAGATCCAATTATTTCATTGGCTGAGCTGCCTGTTCTACGCTGCTGTCGGACGCCGAAAAAGCCCGTCAGTCTGTAAAGCCGACGCCTGTCAAAGCGTGTTGTTGTTTATAAGAAGCATGCAACCACTTTCCCTGCAAAAACATGCAGTAACAGACACCATTTTATTATAATTATTATTCTTTAGAGTTTTGTTCGATATCAAAGACAAAATCTCGGTGCGCAATTCGGCGGTAAAGGCTATCCTCTTTTAGCCAGGGCGAACATACAGTCCACCACCAACACAACAACACCATCAAAATGGACTCCGACAGTATCGACTCGCGAACGGTCTATG